ATCAAGATGTATGCCAGTTAGGATTGAAGCTTTTTTAGCCGAAATTTTACAGTTTTCGTAGGTGCAGGGCTTCTGATTGTTAACTTTTTACCGGATCTTTCAACTTTGGAGCGCTCTCACTACTTGGATTTAGGAAGTAACTTAAATTGAAGTTGAATTCTCCCTTGAATCTGTTTTTCTCGGGCCACACAATCTGTTTGCCTGTAAAAATGCAGCTGAACTGGATTTTACAGTGGTTATGTTTATGGAAGGACATAACCCCGATTTTACAGACGTACTACCTAAAGTTTCAATACAACATTAAAAAAATTGGCATCTGACAATACTCATAGGGGAAAATTCTTACGTAAGTGGAAACTGAAGAAAAAACTATTATGTCAGTAAAGTATGTAAGGTAGAGATAAGTATAGCTTTATTATGTCTTACATGTAAGTGTATACTGTAAGCAATATTTTGGCGGGAAAAAAAATAAGGTGATGCACGATACATGTATATTCCACGTAAAAGGAACAATACCATTTCTTTGTCATTTGGACAGCAACTATTGTACTTAATTTTGAAAAATTGTACTTATAATTTGTTCTGTCAACACCTAATAGATAAAAAAAGGTGTGTATATATTTGTATTTATTTAAAAAACGGGTGTATATATAGATGTATGTGTTTATTTGTTACATCAACTAAAATACAGCAACCCATTGTTTGTTTAAAGAAATAAATCAAATTGCAGGAAAATGAAAAAAACAACTTTTGCAACTTTCTACAAACGAGCTCACTGCGGGATCAACAAAACATTTGTACAGACTAAAAAATCCTAAATAGAAATTGAATTTTGTGATTTCAAAATGGATGTAATGAAGTGGTAATTGAACTTCATGTTGTGCAATTTTGGTCTGAAACCTCACGTGAGAACTCAACTCAAACTTGCGCTGCATACGAAGCCATTCAACTACATGGTACAGATATGAAATTGCTGAAGTGGGGCCTATTTACATCATATAACAACCAGTTTAGTTTTTTTTTCAGAGGCTGTTTTACATAGTTCTTCAAAACAGCTCCTGTCATGAGCATCATTCCAGTCCTTATGATGCCCATTTAGCCATTTATCTACGTTATTTTGTAACATAAGTTTACTTAAATTGGCCACAAAATAGCAATCAATTTTTATTCTCTCTAAAGAAAGAATTGACTCCCAAAACAATCGTGCTAAAACAACCCTTTTCTACAAGGGACAAATTAGACCCAAAAATAGAACTGTATTTCAATCACCGAAACAGCCCTACTTTGGTAGCTAAAACAGAACTTCTCCAGTTACAGCGTTATTCTTAATAATCGAGCACGAGGGCCGTACGGAGGATTATTGACCCGAAGTCGTGGCAGTAAGGACAGAGCGCAGCGAGGTGCATACAAAATCGAACGAGTGCAAACTGAATATTACCCAGTACGGTTCAAGAAAGCAAGCATATAGTATGTAGTTTATTATGTGGCACTCGGGCCAAACTTGTTTATTTTGAGCCAGCTTTGGTGAACAAAAATGAACGCCTTTTGACCGTCTCCGTGGAAACAGTTCTTATGGCAAAATACAGACCAAGTAAGAACCAATCACAACGTTTGGATTTGCCTCAGGGCTATCTTGCCACACAACAAGTTGAGTCGCAAAATGATAAAGCTGAAGCGATGATACTTAACTACTCACTTGACAGTAAATGTTATGATGACCTTGGATAACTATTCAAATCCACACTGCTCGACGAAATGACAAAATTTTGGTCAACTGAAATTTCAAGTCAACTAAATATGTTGCCGTTACGTTTCCTCTAGGCTGCATGAAATATGAACAAATAGTAATATGTCTTAAAATCCTTTCAGAAAAAGAGACCAGAACTACTACAATTATGAAAAGTTACATTTATAATAATAACTTGAAGCCCTAGGGGCAATGCAAGTGTTACCAAAACAAATCGCAAGATTAACTTATCTCACTTCTGTAGCGAGAACCGAAGAACGATTGTACGACTGTACGAAAACAAAAGTTTTGATGTCTACCTCACAAATTCATAACCTTTCAACAGAGAGAGACAGAGCAAATCGATAAACTTGCCTTCATGACTAAAACAGATATTCATAGGGTAAACCAGAGATCATATATTTGATCTTTCAAGATTCTTAGAATCGAAGCACAACTAACAAATCAATTCTCACAGCCTGAATTTCTATTGCTTACCGTTCAAATCATCCAGGTGTTGTTTGCATTTAAAAAGTGGGAAGAAGTGGTTGTAAACCATGAACTCAGTGAAAAATTCGCGCTCTTGCATGTCCCTCCACGACAAAATTATCACTCAGGATTGAGTAGAATCGCCGCTTTGCTTCAGTGCAAATCACATCGAGTGAGTAATGCTCTCGCCTAGACTAAAAATTACTTCCTCTTAGCGAAACACATATTGAAGCTGGCATATCTGAAAGGATCTTCTGAGATTCTTACAATCGAAGCACGGATAGCTGCATGGTAAATCGAACTGATCCTGTATTTTAAAGAAGATTTTAGTCTCCTTTGCTTTAAAATTCATAATAACTTTACCGAACAGTTTTAGCCATTTGTTATCTTCAAGACATCTTAATGCATTTGTTTGCTTCTGGACAAGTATCAGCTATCGCCGTTTTGACTATAGACTTGACTTAAATAAGCGGATCAGTATCTTTTAACTGCAATCATTGCAAATAATCGTCACTTTAACTGGCTCGGAAGGGAATTGATCGAGTAGATGAACTATCGAGGAGTAATGAAAATAACTGACAAAGACAAAGTCATACGGCCATATGCGTGACTTAATTCTCACAGCGTCCAATGTTGTTTAGCTCATTCCTGTGTCGTGTAAAATTAAAACAAATGCATTGAGGAGTTTTAATCTACGGCCTTCGCTCTTGGACGTTTATCTATGCTAAAGTTAGTCATCTGAAATTGACAATAACCCGCTTTGTCTTGGTTCAAATCATAGCGAAGGAATAATGCTTGGCGCTTCCGCTTTCGTCTACAGTCAAAATATACGACTTTCTTTACTCACCTTCACTTTCTCTTTAAAATGAAAATGTCTGTACTTGACTCTGTGAACAAGACCGTGAAGACACACGATATTACTTCGTAGGTAGTTCGTGAATCGACGGAACTACTCGAAAAGTTAACACTTCTCAGACAGTTTCGTTTCAGATTTGCAAATGTCAGAGAATAATTAATCAGATTCTTTAATCATGCAATCATAGCTAAGGTCATTCTGAAGTAGATTCATAGCGGTTTTATGTTACTTTCTCCGATGGATTAAAGTTGTTAATTTGTAGATATATATTAATTTCCCGTTTGTTTCATAACTTGATGATTCTTTTGCATTCAGGGGATGGGATTCTGTGGGTTTCATAAATAATTTTTTAGTACAATGGCTAAGGGAAATAAGCATGAAAACGAGGCCGGAGGAAGCTTTTAATTTGAGCGCTCTCTACTTGCATAGATACAATAAGGTATATTTTTCCTTGTTGACCCTGTCAAGATATTTATGCTTAGCTGTAAAGCTGACCGGTTTTTGAAGCCAGTCGGACAGGCTGCATTCTACTCTTAAGAAATGACGGTGCTCGTCACGAAGGAAAAGGGATTTAGAAAGTTTGAGCGCTGAGAAAGCACGACTGCATTTGATATAACGTTAGTAGGGTAGATATCACCTGAAAACGGTTGTTAAGACAAAATAAATTTGTAAAAATTTCCAAAAGACCGAGAGTGTTTCAAATTAACGAATGTCGAGACCGCCTTAATTTAATTAGATGTAATCTTACATAGGAATCCTCTCCTTGCCGAGGGGGAAGGAATTTATGGCTGTGGCAATAAACACATAGAAAGACCTGACTGAAAAATTGCATAATATTGTTAAATAACTCAATCACGAAGAAGGTATTTTTTTCAAATGGAAAGAAACACCTTACTAGTGTTGAAGGGGTGGCTTGGGGTGGGTAGGGGAGGGGGGGGAAGGGGATGGAGGAAGAAACAAGCGGGAGTTGTTACTAGTCCCCGTTTCTTTTTGTATCTCTTATAATGTTTGGTTTTGTTTATTTGCTTTTTGTTTTCATAACTTATCGCTTCTCGTGTGGCACTATGAAAGCAGGGTTTTATTTTCAGCCGGAATTTATTATTTTTTCAGAGCTTATCCTAATCAAGTCAGTCATTCTTAGGTTAAGTAAGCAGCTGGTCCTTATTTATCGCTTGTGGGGTCCCCTTGGTTTGGATTCACTCTGTAGCAGATAAGCATACACTTAAAAGAAATTCATCCTTTATAATGGTCGCCTCAATTTTTTTTTTACAGCGAAGAAGTCCTGGAAAGGCAGAGAACTCTTTAATGTAAACACGCAGTGTCCACTCAACATGGATTTGTGTTGTTGTATGTTAAAGAGCTATTATTAATATTGTTTTGATTACATTATTAGGGGGAGGTAATGAAGTAAAATCGCATTTATAGTACGAGCAATCTCATTAGAATTATCATCAATGTTAATTGAGGGCAGTGATTTTCTAGGCGAGTTATAATTCGTAAAATAAACTTCTTGAAATAATTACGGACTCTAAACGTACTTCGTAGAAAGAAGTTTTCGAAACTGTGAACGAGTTGATAACTTCTATTGTAAGTTTAATGTGTCCTCATGAGGCCTATATATTTGTGAACAATCTCCATCATTTACCCTCGACAGAAGTGTAAAAATAGGAATAATTGATACAGTAAACACGACATATAATGCAACGAAAGTAAAAACAATGTTTAACCAAGAAATCTAAACATGAGATTCCATGTCATGATCCATTTGGCATAAATCCTTAAAAATAAAATGGGAAAAACTGGTCTATAAATGCCATCACTTTTGAAAGAGTAACTCATTATTAAAGCAAATGGACTAATTGTGGACAACTGTCAATCCTTTTGTCCTTATAGCAAAAAAATATATTCGCATTACGAACTAAAAGTCATTTAATTCTGTAATTGACGGCAAATTTTGTCCGCCAGATCCTTACGGGCTACAAAGGGATGACATAGGGCGTCATGTAAGACAAGGTAGGTTGCTTTTGTAGGTTGCTTTTCACCCTCTCTTCTTTTCCAATAAAGCAACATTTGATATGGCTTTTCGGTGTATTCTTCATGATTTTTGTGAAATTCGACCAGCTCTGCTTCCGCAATATTTAAACGTCTTCCAAGTCGCTTCCAGCCCTCAGCGATGTTTTTCGAAATTGCATATAATTCTTCCTCAGTGGGCGTGCCATTCTTGACTGAATATTGAAAAAGTGCAGTTAGTGTTTATAGGATGTTTTTAATAAAGTAATTCTTGTTCTAATTAATAAATGGATGATTGGTCAACGTCAATCTTCCTCTCAGAGAAGTATTCCTCGAACTCTTGAGAGGAATGCAATGCATCACTTTGGACTAATTTTTTCAAAACTGTCATGATTCTCTTCAATTGATAATCTTTGGCTAGACATTTCAGCTTTTTGATCTGGCCAAATATACCAAACATTCTCTTTTCCCAACCTGTTAATGTTTTCTCGAGAAAGACAAAAAAAAAAAAAAAAAAACAAAAGCAGTTGCGACGTTTGGGGTAGTTTTCCTCCAAGTTTTATGGCAAACAACATATACAGGAGGGCGCACGGTCGGACAGACGGAGAATTGGAAGGACAGACAGAAGGACAAACGTTCGCACGGACGATTGCCTTACGTTTCTTCTTGCTTTTCTTTTAATGTTTGATTTTGTTTTTTTGCTTTAAATGTTTTCATAATCAATCGCTTCTCGTGTGGTACTAAAATGTCCTGGAGAGGCAGAGAGCTCGTTATTGTTAACTCGAATTAAAGCCTCGAATTAACCAGCATGGATTTGTGTTGTTGTATGTCAAAGAGCTATTATTGTTTTGACTATATTAGTACAAAGAGGTAATGAAATAAAATCGTGACTATATTGTGACCGAAAGTAGAGCTCGTCATAAGAATTACCACCAATATCAATTGAAGTCAGGGGATTTCTACGAGAGCTTTAATTCGTAAAAAAAAAAAAATTCTTGACAGAATTACGAACTCTATACTTACTCCATAGAAAGAAGTTGTCTAAACTGTAAAACAAGTTGATCACTTTATTCGAGTTTTGAGGTGTCTACCTCAGTTAGATGTATTCGTGAACAATTTCGATCATTCGCTAATGAATACTATAAAAGCAGGAATAATTAATACAACATATATAATTAATCAGAGGGCGCCTGTGGCTAACTCGCGGATAAAGTATTAAAGAGATATATACATGTAAAGTTGCTATCATTAAACTAAGGTGTTAAAAAAAGGTAGAAAGTAGAATCATTGCAAGTATAGAAATTATCGTACATGAATATGTGATGGAAACTCCCCGGGGGGCGGGGTACATGGGTCACTTTTTGCTGGGTATGTACAGCTGGCTTCTCAGAACCACTACCGCAATTTAGCCTATGTTGTGGCCAATTATAGACCCCATCTTTGTACGCTTTTGGGCAAGACCGGAATGGAATGGGAGCCGTTTATTAAATATTAAAATACGATAACAACTTTTTTACCATGAATCTTCCTGTTTATGAATCCTTACTTGCCATAATTTTCTTACGTCTAAAATCTAACAAATGTGTAACTCCATTCTAGAAAATCTATTGAAAATATCTGAAAATGCAATGCCATAAAAGTCAATGCAATCGTGAAAGTGTGACCCTATCCAGCGGCACATTGTTAGCCTATCTCTTGGAATTTTAACCCTCACCCACCCCCTCCCTCCCCTTCTCTGAATTAATATTTGAGTGTAGAAATGGCAAAGAATGATGAAGCAAAATATAGCACATATTTACTCCAGGTTGAGAATAACCACCGTGATTGCAGCATTCCCACGTGCGTGAATTACTTGTAACATATAGGAAATACTAGCATGTTACACCGAACTTGTAAGCAGAAGAGGCCGATTACTCGCGATTTCTCGTAGTTTTTAATTTCCCTTTTGTTTTTCAGTACACGGATTTGCTTTTATTTTTTTAAACGGATGCGATAGAAATTAATTGGAAAAGCATTCCTTGAAATAGGAAGTCGTCATGTGTTTTGAGCGAAAAAGCTCGTCAAGCGATCAAAACAACACCGGCCATATAATAGTCACGTGCTCGGAAACGGCTTGTAGAAACCTATCATATTTCATTCTTACCATCAGGGGTGCGTTCCTTTGGGAGGATCTGGATAAGGATTTGAGATCCAAGATTCCACAGATCACGATGCATGAAAGAAACGGAGTTTTAGACGAACTCTCAGAGAATTCCAAAAAGTGTGCTATTTAAGACTTGTGTAATCACGTGGGTACTTGAGCTCTTCCCTGAATGGCTCGTCTAACTGCACGGGCTTTTAGCGCACACAATTGTTCTAATTAGCACTATTCATTAGAAGCACGTACATTTTTTCATGGTAAACTCAAACAATGGAATTAAGACAGAAGCAAGTATTGATTACGATATGGATGCTTGGGAACCCTAAATACCTGCGGTCAGTGGGCGATCGATTTAACATTACAAAATCTATTTTATTTCGTGTGTATCGCAGAATTTGTGGAGCGATTGCCAACAATCTTTCCGGTCAATATATGAAGTACCCACTTATTTCAAATTGAGCACCGCTGGGCAAAATGATTAATTTCGGATCCTTCGCCCAAAGGAATGTGATGGATGAATGATCCAATGATCCGTCTTTAGATCACGCAGATCAGTGATCCGATGAATCCTTGTCCAGAGTGGATTTGATAGATCACTGATCTGAAAATGGATTTGCTCCTTAGGGAACGCCACAGATCAGAAATCCTGATCCGGATTCTCCAAAGGAATGCACCCCAAAACAGTCACGTTTGCATAGAAAAAAAAAACCAAACAAAACGAAACGACCATAACGAAAAGACCGATTTGTAACTCACAAACTCTTCGTAATTCTTGCTGCTCCTCGTTACGTTTAGCGCATGGACGATTCGTAGACCCATCAAATTTGGTATTTATGTTGATCATAGCACTAATCTGAAACATTCGAAATCCATTTCAATTTGGGAAATGTCGAAACAGCCGTGTAAAGACAATAAACATCGCAACGATCGATGCAATCACGATGGCGCCAGGACTTCGGAAGGATAGATCTCGAGTTTGAAGACGACTAATTACGAATAATTACGAAGAGTCCACGCAATTTGCATATCTCAAAGTGCCCACAGCAACTCGTTTCTACGCCATCGTTTATCTACGAGTTAAAAATGAAACAAAAGTGAAAAATAACGTTTGATTAAAAATACTAAATATGAGATTCCAGCTAGTGACTAGCTTTAAGCTCTCAAAATAAGTAAATGGATCATGTTTGGACAACTGTTAATCCTTCATGTCCTTATTTCACAAACTTATTCGCTACAGTAGCTAAAAGTCACTTAATTCTCTCTTTCAAAGCAAAGTTTTTCCCGCCAGATCCTAACGGGTTATCCAGGATGACACAGAGTGTCATATAAGACAAAGTAAGTCGCGTTTGAAACCTCTTTCCTTATCCAGTGAAGCAATATTTATATGCCTTCTAAGTACACTCATCTATTCTGACCTCTTCATTTGCGAAGGGCCCGAAAACCATCTTGAATAAGGAGGTCATGAACTACGTTTCCTAGCTAGCAGCCTCTCGTCTGAAGTACCGTAATGAGGGTTTTTTTTCTTCAAATGCGATACAATTGTTATGGAATGAATCAATGGGGAATGAATTAAACGGTGTAAAGTAAGCCTTTCGTACCGTGGCATTTTTGCAAAATAAAGTTCAACCTAGGAGCGTCCATTTTCTCTTAAATTTAACGTCAACAGAGTAAACAGGGTACTAAGATGAAATACCTTTATAAGTAGTCGGCGCTTTATCACCGGGTCGTATGGATCGCGGTTCCCCTTGATTTGAAGGTTCGGGCTGTGCATCCTCTGCGTAAGATTCTCCTAAAAGACGTGAGTGAATTAGAGTTACTCTCTGCCCACCTCCACTGTTCTTTCCCTCCCTCCTTTCCTTCCTTCATCTCCTTTGTCCTTCCTTCCTTCCTTCTGTCAAATTGTTTCTCCTTGCCTCCCTTCTGTCCTCTAATCGCCCTTTCCCGTTTTCCTCCCTCCGTTCCTCTGCCCTCTCAGCCTTCTCTCCGTAGTTCCTCCCTCCCTTACCCCCCAGCCCCCCTTGTCCTCTCCTCTTCCATTTAACAGTACCTTCACTCCCTTCAACTTTTCCTTTTCTTTATCTTTCCCTCCTTCCTCTCTGCTTTCTTTTTCCTTTCTTCTCTCGTTCTCTTCCTCTCTCCCTTCCTCCTTCTGCCTCCCCCTTTCTCTCCCTCCCCCTTTCTCTCTCTCTCCCTTTTTCTCTCTTCCTCTCTCCATCCATCCCATATCTCTCTCTCTTCCCTTCAATTTCTCCTTTCCTCTCTTTCTTCGTCCTTCTCTTTCTTCCTCCCTCCCTTCTCGCTACCCGGAATCACTTGCATTTCATACTCTGGTTAAAGACATGCACTTTTTAGCCATGCAACTCGCTAATATGGGCCACGAACACAAAATATTTCGACAAAGGTTGAAATTAATTTGTTCCTTGCTACTTAACAAAACTCTTGAGCAGGCATTTTCTTACAACATGGTACTTAAAAATTAAACATTATTACCTGCTGTCGCTTTCTTTCTTTTAGGGTCTGAACCGGAAGGAGAAGATGACGACCGTCGTTTCTTTCGAGGAAAACCATCCTCAGCATCCGAATTGTCTGTATAAAATGACAAGAAATCGTACCTACAGTTAACCAGATTGCACTTCTTAATTCACTGGATAATTAAGAGGTTGAAAAAGACCACTTTCAGTTATCCTCTTGACTAAAATAGATCAAAAGAGCACCAAAGTATGGGTTCACTGTCTTTTATGCATAAAAACTAACCAAAACTGTCTTTGTACAAATAGGTTGTACAAGTAGGGTGATAAACAGGTATGTCAAATAAATTAAATGAAACTTATGCGTGTGCCCTAAAAAAGAAAACAAATAAAAATAATAATAATTATGTAAAATGATAATAGAAGCAATAAAACAGTGCACAACACGCAGTACAAAGAAATTAGACAAAATAGCGTTAAAACGGCCGAAAGCGACGAGGCGGCTATCATTTAATTCTTCATGTATCCATCGTTTAAATTATTACTTTAATATTTATTCAATAAACCTTAGACCTCGCAAGTGGTGATTGTTAGCAATGATCTTAAAAACTTTTTGTTTCCTTTTATTCTCTTTGTTTTGATGTTCATCTGTTTCTTTGCTCTTTTTTTGCAGGACCGGCAGTGTTTTCTTCACGCCTCTTGGGGTTGCTCGTTTTGAGAATCGGTTGCCATTGTAAATCATATCATGCAACTTTTGTCTGCGCCTACGCTAGAAAGTTTACATGGTTTAATAGCGTTTTCATACAGCAAATCCGAGTCAAGCTGATTATAACTTGCGTTTGAATTTTTTATTTTTTTGAATACAGAATTCCCTCGATACAAGTATCTACTTTTTCAACCAACTGAACACTTACCTTCGAAGTGAGGCCAGAACTCAAAAACTCTAGAATCTTTTAGAGTGTGTGAAACTAGAGACGCTGCCATAACACTGGCAAATGGTCTCCAAAGATCAGTTTCAGATTTGTTCCCATCGGCGAAGTCTGACACGCCCTTAATGACAATCCACTCAATGTCGAGATCATGGGCAGCTACGAAAAGACCTAGAAGAAAAGCATTTTTTGGCCTATAAGAGACACTGAATAGACCCCGGGGTTTTAAATTGCCTTTTTAAAAAATTAAATGAGACTCACGGAAGGACAGATAGAAACAGCGAGACACAGACAAATAGAAACGACTAGGTCAAATATAGAGACACATAAACAGCAAGAAACGCAGACATACAGAGAGACCTCAAGGGATGGATATGAAAAGTTGTTTCACAAAGTGATGGAGAGCAAGTAAGGAAGAAATGAAGAGAGCGAAAACTAAGTAAAATATAAAAAACAACAACAAAAAAAAAAAGGCACAAGAGTTTTAATTTTCATTGTTCTTGTTTTTGTTTTTGATATTTTTAATGTGGATTTTACTCCTCCTGCAACTGCTGTTTAACTGTAGCCGATATTCCGCCACTTAGACATGTTTCGTTCCAAGCTCAGGGAGAATCGATTGTTATGATTATGAATGTAAGTTGGGCTAATTTTGATGTAACTTGCAATTTTTATTCATCTTTGGGGGCAAGGCGGTCAAAAATACTACTTACAGTTATTATCCATCAACAATCCAGCATAAAATTTAAAAAATAAAAATGAAATGATGATAGAACTTAACTTAATTCAGCAGCTAAATGTATCCTAGCATGTGTAACAGACAAAAAAAGGGGCCAACAGACATTAGAGGCAGAAAGCCAGAAAGAAAGACAGATGGCCAAACAGGACCCTTCACAGATATAAATAATCATAAATACGTAGTTTTACTTTTCATTAATTACCTTCCCCTTCCATCTCAATTGCTGTTGCTTCTGGATATCGTTTGATCAGTGCATCACGTCGTTTTCTGTCGTTAATCACCTCAGGCCCACTCAGAAATACGCCATCTCTGCGTGGTTTCACCTTCTGACCGGTTGAGTACTTCACTGGTGGTTTCCATCCATCTCCAATGTGTCTGGCAAGAGCTGCCAAATCCCTATTTAAAGGAACTTTAACACCTCGCTCCTGGATCATATCTCCCTCTCGTTTTATGAAGGCGTAGGTAATTAACTTTGAGCACACGACCACATCACCTAGCTCTGCTTTCTTCTCGTTTAAACTAGCACAGAAACCCACACTAAACACAGCTTTCGGTCTTAAGATGCGGACTGCCTTTGGGACAACAATCAGGGGACCACCGGGAGCGGCACCACCCATATTGCATTTCATCACTGCAACCTTCACTTCCTCGTGCTTATTGTCACGGACATTTCCAAAGTATACAATGCCAAGGGGTTTGCAATTACTCTTCACGAAACCTTTTTTGAGAAAGGAAAGACAACTTAGAAATTCGCAGTCCTTTACCGTCAACAGAAGAAAATGGACCGGTAGAAAGTCTCTTTGGATGTTTTCCCACGGCTTTGAGTGGTCCGGGAGATTTTCAATCTCTAGCACTTCAACATCTACCTCTGGTGGTTTTCTTTTGCTTGTTGCTTGATGCGCACTTTCAGCAGTGATAGCGTCCGACATGTTTTACAGGTTCCTGGGAATAATTATGTGATTAATGAGATAGTTATGATATTCAATACTCAAAATCAATGCTGATCAGCCTTTGGCTGTCTGAGTCCTCATTTACGTTAGAAATACAGTCACCTCTTAAGTGTGTTTAGCATAAAATCGACTGTGATAAAATAATAGCAATAGTATGCCAAATTATATCAAAACTGACATGAGCTAACTAGCTAGCTGGATAGAAATTTAGTGATGGATAATGAATCAAAGCAAAGTTAATACGAAGTAGGGGAGGTATTTTTCCCTCAGTGTTATGTATCACCGGTCATTTAAGCTCCTGTTTCATTACATTTCGATAAAGTTACATCGATAACAAGGGGATTCCAGTTGAAAAAGGACAATTATCAATGCAAGAGACATTTAGTGGGAAGGGTGACTTTTTCTTTCATGGTCAGTTGGCCCTAATTGGGCTATCTCAGCCACTTTAATAGACCCTTTTCGGTCTTACATCATGTGAAATTCTGTGGTGGATTGCCATGATGAATGGTCTTCTCAAATACAAACTCAGCTAGAAATTGAAAAGACGGTATCCGCCGCTTTCGCCTCCTATCGAGTTCGCGCCTTCGAGTTCACCCCTACCTTATACCGTGTTCGCCCCCGCACTTTTCGAGTTCGACCCAACCAAGTCGAGTTCGCCCCCAGATTGAGTCATGTCTAAATTAGTTGCTATCGAACATTGCAAACAAGTTAGAACCAAGTTTATCTACCCAAAATTTCGTGTTCGTTAGATAAACCGAGGTTGGTTTGCATCTTTTCCCGTCTGAATAATAAGTTAAGCAATGCTGTTTTGATTAAGTGTGGTTCTCTTTATCACAAGTTCAATGTATACAGTTATTTCTGGTACTCCCAGATCCCACGCAGAGTATTTAGTTGATTCCGTCAACCCAGTTCCTAAGCAGGTTCCACTCAATTTCCGAAATTCAAAATGGTCTTCCCTGACGTGACATTTGGCACATTCTGCTAGTGCCTTCGTCACAAATCAACTCATCTGGATATCACTCAATCAAGGGGCAAACTCGAACTCGACTTGATGGGGTCGAACTCGAAACGTGTGGGGGCGAACACGGCATAAAGTAGGGGCGAACTCGATAGGGGGCGAACGCGGTGCAATTCGAAAAGACGAATAACCACATAAGGTTGTCCAAGAAAGGTGAACAAAAGCCTCTACGGTTGTAAGCCTCTCATTGATCGTAATCGTTGCAAACAAGAGTCAAATTGTGGACATCCGATCCCCATGTGATCGTAATTTACGTCGCTTGCTTCGGGACAGGGACTATTGACTCGGCCACGATATTATTGGTAAGCTGCATCTTAAGCAAGTATGCATAAGTATTCCCTATACTTATAATTTTATATGATCGAGGTATATGCCAGTTTGGAAAAATTTTGTTCCTGAAAGATTCTTACTTTTTAATATTGATTGATTCTTTCATTGATTGATCGATTCATTTTCAAATGATATATTTCTTCTTTCCCTTGCTCTAAGCTGCTGAGATCAAAGTTTATGCTAGTGAGGAGTGAAACGTTTGGCTAAAGAATCTTCACTGTTAGGCACTGATTGAGCGTTTTACAGTACATTTAGATGCAGAGTTTTTAGTGATTAATTTTTACCTCGCTCTACACCACTATGCTGAAGGTATAACTCTTTAAACCCTAAGAGTGACTAGCATCTAATTTCTCCTTACTATATCACTCCTGAATCAAACACGAAAGTCATGAGAACAGAGGAGATGATCACCAACCAAAGCAGCTCTTGATTGTTCAACAGATTCTCCTTGTCAGCCTCTTTGGAAATGTATGGAGAAAAGTATGGAGATTATGCATACTGATGTTAGGGTGTAAGCAATCCATACTGTTGGGTATTAATTAACCATTTTCCAGTAAACATAGGACTACTTCTTAGGTTTAATTTTCTCCTTCCTCTACACTATTTTGATCAGGGTGTGTGTTAGTTAGGAGTAAAACTTTTAGCTGAGGATGTTTCGCACCTCAGGTTAGGGTACTACTCGGGTTGAAGACACACCAGGAAAATAAAGTCTACGGAATCTACCAATTGTTTTTTAACTACTTTGATGTCATAATTTCCGATGTTGCGACAGCAAGCTAAGTATGTAATCAACTGAAAAGAAAGGCATGCATTCCATTGTTTACTTGTGAATCGACTATAAAAGCTTGACGAATCGAATCTAATCGAAAATGAAATGAGCAAACTTGCTTCAACAAATGTGAACATACTTACAATTCTGTAAGGCGTGATTCCATTTATGACACGGCTATTTTTCTATCTTATTTAAAGAAAAGGTGTAAACTTTATGAACACTGTTTTCAACGACAGAATTTTTTTCTCAGTGATCCTTCAGTTTCCCTAATCACGCTAGTCCTATAAGCAAGCTGAAATCTGATTGGCTTAATTTTAAGAAAGAATAATAATCTTGCGTGTTCGGCTTTATTGCTAATAAAAACGATAAAGTAAATACCGTGACTCAAAATTAATCACAGCTGTCAAAGGAGTGGAAAACAGTGGAATCTTTACAGTTACTCATTGATTGATCAATCACAGTACATTGTAGGAGCAGTACTTCTAATGATTAATTTTTTTCTCTTGCTCTACACTACTGTGATCAAGGTATCTACCAGTTAGGAGTGAAGATTTTTGGATGAGGAATCCTTGTTGTAAGGCATCAATTGATAATTTTATACCACATGTAGGTACAATGCTTCAAATGCTCAATTGTTTCCCTTGCTCTACACTACTGTGATCAAGTTAAATGTCGGCAAGAAATAAATTCTTTCCGGAGGAATCCTTTCGGTTAGGCGTTGATTGATCATTCCACAATATCCATAGATGCAATGCTTCTAATGATTATTTTTTCCCCTAGCTCTACACCACTGAAGTCAAGGAAATTGCCATTTAGGAGTGAAACTTTTTTTGCTGATGAATCCTTTCTGTTAGGCAATGATAAATTATTTACAGCACATGTAGGTGCAATGCATCTTATGAGTATTTTTTTCTTTTAGTCTGCACTATTGTGATATATATATATATACTATATATAAGGTATATGCCTGTAAGTTGTGAAACCTCATTTGCTGGCTGTTATACTTAGATTGATCGTTTTACAGTAAACGCATGTGCAATGATTCTAGTGATAAATTTTCCCCTTGCTTTGCATTACTGTGATCAAGGTACCGGTATAGACCTGTTAGGAGTGAATTTTTTTTTTTGCTGAGAAATCCTTATTGTTAGGCATTGATTGATCATCAGTGAAGTACTGTAGGGTCACTTTTTTTAATGCTTAATTTTTTTCTCTTGCTTTAAACAACTGTGATTAATGTATATGCCAATTAGGAGTGTGATCGAGGTAGGTGCCAGTTAGGAGTGAAGATGGTAGCTGAGGAATCCTTACTGTTAGATATTGATTGATGACTTAAAGCACATGTCCCTTTCTTCAAAGTACTGCGATCAATGAACGTGTAGGAACAATGCATCTAGTGACTAAATTTATCTTCTGCTCTACACTATCTTGATCAAGGTATATGTCAGTTAGGAGTAAAGCTTTTAGCTGAGAAATCCTTACTGTTATGATGTAATTAATCATTTTACAGCTGAAGTAGGTGCATTGCATCTTATGACAATTTTTTCACTCTGCTCCACACTCTTGTGATCAAAGTATATGCCAGTTAGGTTTTTAGCTGAGGACTCCTAACTGTAAAGCATTGATTGATCAATTGCACTACATGTAGAGGTGCAATGCATCTTATGATTATTTGTTTCCTTTGCTCTGCACCATTGTGCTTGAGGTATACGCCAGTTAGTAGTGAAGCTTTTTTTGTTCGCTGATGGATTGTTATTGTTAGGCTTAGATTGATACTTTTACAGTACATGCATGTGCAATGTTTATATTGATTATTATTTTTCTCTTGTTCTATTCCACCATGATTAAGATAAAAACTAGTTCCAAGTTAAGCTTTTAGCTAAGGAATCCTAATCGGCAGGCATTGATTTATCATTCTACTGGACATGTACGTGCAGGGCCTTTAATGATTACATTTTTCCATTGCCCAAAACCACCGTAATCAAGGTAATTGCCAATTAGAAGGGAAGCTTTTGCTGAGGAATCCCTACTGTTAGGTATTGATTAATCATTAACAGGGCATGTTGGTGCAGTGCATCTACTGATTAGTCTTTCCTTGCTATGCACTTCTGTGTTCAAGGGATATACCAGTTAGGAGTGAGGCTTTTTGCTGATAAATCCTTACCATTAAGTATTGATTAAATATTTACAGTACATTTAGGTGCTATCAGTTTCATTTGTTAATTTTTTCCCTTTGCTCTACAGTACCGTGATCAAGGTATATGCCAAGTCAGGATTGAAGCCTTTTTAGCTGAGGAACCCCTACTGTTAGGTATTGATTAATTATTAACAGGGCATGTTGGTGCAGTGCATCTATTGATTAGTCTTTTCCTTGCCATACACTTCTGTGTTCAAGGGATATACCAGTTAGGAGTGAGGCTTTTTGCTGATAAATCCTTACCATTAAGTATTGATTAAATATTTACAGTACATGTAGGTGCTATCAATTTCATTTGTTAATTTTTTCCCTTTGTTCTACAGTACTGTGATCAAAGTATATGCCAAGTAAGAATTGAAGCCTTTTTAGGTGAGGAATCCTCCCTTAGACATTGATTAATTATTTAACAATACATGTAGGTGCAATTCTTCTAATGATTAATTTTTCCCCTTGCTCTATACTACTGTGATCAAGGTATATGTCAGTTAAGATTGAAGCTTTTTTTAGCTGGGGAATCCTTTCTGTTAGCCATTGATTGAATATATTACAGTGTATGTAGGTACAAGGCTTCTAATTATTAATTTTTGGAGCGCTCTAACTAATTGGATTTGGGAAAGTAGTAAAATTAAGGTTGAATTCTCCCTTGAATCTGTTTTCTTTGGCTACACAATCTGTTTGCC